AAGACGGGGTCAACCGCACCGATGCGCTAGCAGCTGCCGCACGAGTGGGCAGACGAAGCATTGGAACCGTAAACGACTGGGAGCATGGTTTTCTAGCACGCGGCAAAATCAAGCCGCCAGAAAAAGGTCGCTTCCAGCGGACCTTTCTCCTGGAGCTCGACGAAGGCATCCAAAAGCTGGTGAAGCAGTGGATGCTGGACAACTGCGGCATACTGAGCGGTGAAGCCAACAAGACGGCAGAAGATTTCCGCAAGTGGATCAACAAGACCATCATGCCCAAGCTGGAGGCGCTGGAGACGGAGGACTTCGACCCTTTCGACGGCTTGAGAGTGCGGCGGGAAGAACCAACAGAGAAAGATGGCGAGCCCCCCGTTCCCGGGAAGCGTTTCATCTCCCTGTCTACAGCAACGGCATGGCTGAAGAAGCTAGGGTGCGAGTACCACGGTGCCAAAAAGGGTCTCTACTTCGACGGCCACGACGACCCGGAGACCCTCAAGTACCGGAACAACGACTTTCTGCCGCAACTGTTCGACGCTCGCGACCGCATGGACGTGTGGATTCCGGTGCCGAACGAGGAAGCCGAGGCCTGGGGCATTGACGTGAACGAAGTGCCGGAGGCCGACCGCATGCAGGAAGGTGACGGTGTCTGGGTGAGTGTCGACGATCTACAATCGGCGTTGGCGGACCTGTCGCCTGACCTGCAAGCTAAAGTACAGAGCAAGAAAACGTACCCGGACGGGAAGAAGGCCTTGCTTCTCTACCAGGACGAGAGCATCTTCCGAGGTTAGTGGGAAGTCAAGTCAAAACATAAAAATATTGTAGAGCAATGCAAAAATTGTCGTCCACCACGTGAAGTTAAAGTTGCAAAAATACTTCGACAAGGTTGGGTTGTGTGCAGTGGTCTCGCACATACAGCAGTACTGTGTAGGAGTACTGTACATTACAGCAGAGTACTGAACGTTTTTGTTGCACTCTCTGATTCTTTTTTTTTTGGCCGCCCCTGTTTTCTTCTTCTTTCTTCGGCAGCCAACGACGACCAGAAGTGGGCGTGGTTCAGGAAAGACCAGCGTGTGGTAATAAAGAAGTCACCCGGCCAGGGCATCATGGTGTCAGGAACGATCATCCACAACGTTGGCTTCTTTTCGGCGTCGCCGAGCCAGGTAGCTGAGGCCGAGAGCAACCGGAAGAAACGTTGCCGTGAGTCGGCCGCTGCAGCTAGACGAGGGGAGAACATCAAACCAGAGAAGTACCGGCCAATCGACATGCTGCATGTCGACGACGACGGCAACTATTGGTCCTTCCATCTCTTCGAGTACGGCAAGAACAAGGAGGGCTACTGGACCGGTCTGAAAATGCTGGACCACACGAACGACGTCCTGGATGTGGTGGCCGTCCTCTACCCCAACCACAAGCCTGTGTGCCTGTTCGACTGGTCGTCCTGCCATGACTGCCTAGAGGTCGGCGCGCCAAGGGTGAGCGGGATGAACGTGGGTTTCGGTGGAGTGAGAAAGGGAGAAGAGCTTGCGGCGATGGATGCCGTGACGATTCTGGAAGATACGCCACTCCTCAAAGCTGGCACGACACAGCACTTGGTTTTCCAAAGGGGGGACGACCCCCCCTTCTACGCCGAGCACCTCCGACCGTCGGAGTATGTCGGGAAGCTGAAGGGGATGCGGCAGATCTTGTTCGAGAGGGGGTTGCTGAAGAAGGGCATGTCGAAGTTGGGGGGGACGGGCGAGAAGAAGGACCTCAGCATGAGCATGGAGCATGTTCTGGGAGAGCAGCGAGACTTCAAGGAAGTTGACTCTAGTCTGGTGCTGTTGATGCGGCGGCACGGGGGAGTCTGCGTGATGCTCCCCAAGTACCACTGCGAGTGCAACCCCATCAAGCTCGTTTGGGGCCGTGCGAAGGACTGGACGCGCCAGAACTGCACATATTCGATGGAATGCTTGCGCAAAAACGTGCCGTTGAGCTTTAGACCGGAGAAGGATAGACAGGCCATTGCGGTAGTCCAGGCTTACTGCAAGAAGGCTTACACGCATGCCCTCGTGTACCTGAAGGCACGTGCACTTGGACCCACGGGCAAGGAGATCTACAAGAAATTCAAGTCCCACAGGCGCCCGACGCCGAACACGTGGAGGAAGTAGAGAGGCATGCGTTTGTATTCCTTGTGCTGTCCAGCACTGACTTTTTTCCCCCTGTTTTCGCCACATTTTCTCAGCTTTTTTACCTGTTTTTTTTTTTTTTTGTGTGAATACACGTATTTTGTGCGGTTGCTCGTTGCCAAAAGTTGCTGTAGGGTGATACAGTACAGTAGGTGAAGGGTACCTGCGTTTGTGCGGTGTTTGGGGGTGTTTTACTCGACGTGACGCATGTTTGCAACCAAAAAAAAGAAAAAGAAAAAAAAAAAATCGACGCAAAAAAAAACAAAAATGGTGCAAAAATGACCCAGGACTAACGTTCGAGCCCCGGCGAAAGGCATAATTTTCCCCTTTTTTTTTTTTTCCGACTCGCTACTCTTTTGCGCCTCTTCGCGGGCGTTAATAACATGTTTTTTTTTTTTTTGTTCTCCACTTCAGTCAAAAGTTATGGAGGGACAACGAAATTCGGCCTCAGGAAAAATACCACTGTAGAAGAAACTTGAGCGATCCCGTGCTAACTGTCCACTTCGACGTATAAAGTCTTACCACACTCTTAAAGTCAATGCAACGAAACGAACAAAGTGGATGAATAACGCCGGAAAAAATTGGGGTGGGGTGTGGATAACAAACAACAACTAAAAGCGTTGTATAGTTCCATAATTAATTTGGCTCCGCGAGCCCGCTTGAGGAAAACAAAAGGAGGCATGTTTGAGCCGCATGCATGAAGGGGGTTGACTACTCTCCATCAACTCTGAAGCTGGGGCCTATGCCAGAAGCGCCGGTCTCCGAACACTGTACTCTGAGAAAATGAGGGGGGGTTGACGCTTGTAAAAGCTGGGTTACGTGTCGACAGGTGCGCACTGCACTCTTGTGAACGAAGGAAGCGGGTTGGATCTTAGGAGGAAGTGGCCCCCCGAAAATCGAGAAAAATAAAGCTGTGGAAGAGCTGCCCAAAGCCTGGCCCAAAGTGGCCAAGTGGCGAAGCGCTTCCGGTACAAGCTACAGTCAAGACTGCACCGCATGCATGCCAAGGTTGGAACAACAACAACAACAGCGCCTGCCTGTGGGCCTACATGCATACAACTGTGGAGCGCTGTCTGTCGTCGACGAGACACACCGATCGGCGAACAGCATTCCAGTGTTCAAACTTTGGACACCGACTACGATCCACATCAGCTACCGAACATTGACACAAACTATGTTGTCGCTGTTGTTGTTGTTGTTGTTGTTGTTGTTGTTGTTGTTGTTGTTGTTGTTGTTGTTGTCTTAACATTAACAACCGTTCGTTCCGTTCTCTCTGTCCAGTACCTTCTTCTGTCCGCACGTGTAATACTTGACGGGGTCGATTCCCCCGTGGTCACAGGCTAACTTGCCCCAAAATGGTGTAGACTTTTACGAGGTGCGACTATTATTATTTTTTGTCTTCACTTCAAATCAGCGCTCACAGCGCTATTAATAGTGCCGTTTACTCCAACCCGTGGTCACACAGAAGATACGAGAAGAGTTCAGCACTCTCTAGGCCAGGAGCGGAAAAGCGAGAGAAAAACTCACTTTGTTTGCAAGAAACGCTCGCTTACTACGCCGGGATTCGAACCCCTGACTCAGCTGACCTCCAGAAGGTCTCGAGGCTACCAACTAGACCACCGGGGCGACCGGCTTTGGAACTGAATATTTCCATATCATCACTCAATGAAAGTTGCCTGCGACATTCTGTGATCATGTGAAAACAAGAAAGATATACTCAAAAAACTTGTATAGTAACCTGCCTATATGCAGGTTAATGTGCTACATAATAATCAAGTGTCAACCTCCTGAGAGCTTTCACAGCGCGGCCTTTGCCAGCGTTCATCCCATGTCAAGTCATGAACAACTGAAATCTCGCACACACATCCAAATAAAGTAAACATGCACGAAAGGAGGTGCCGTGACATCAGCCTCGTTATGTATGGTTTTACAATCTTGAAGACGACGCGATGACGATTTCTTGTAAGAACCTTGGTCCCAACGTTGGCAAGCTGGTATTATGCCGTGGGAAAGCAGTACAAAAGATGTTGATTTCTTCCTCGGCTAGCTCTCGACCGCAGAAGCGCATGAGCGAATGCCGACTACTACATGAAGGCAGCAAAGAGTCCGAAGATGTCGGAGGTGTTTTAATCCAGACGCCGTTCAGCGTGAGAAGGACCGAGCTGTATGGTTGTCGTCTGTTGACTGTAGGCGTTTCAGGTGACGATGCCCACGTCGCACTGGTTGAGGATTCAACAGCTGAGAGAGAGAATTCAAGAGTAGGATGGGTCGCCCTTGGTCAGTCGGGACATGGACACTCCCAACGTCTGCGGATTTTACTTGCATTGCGCTTTCGGCTCCTTGCTGGACTCCGATGACATTCAGCGTCTGAGTGCGTCCTTGAGTTATGGTACGCGTATCACTGGTTTCCACCGCCACCGCCGCTCTTTCCGTGTTTCTTCTTAACCCGGTCGGGCCGATTGGTGCCGGCTAGTTCCGGCCTCAAAGGAACGCCGCCTGCCCTGTGGTGTGGCACAAGAAACCAGCGACACCTCCTACAAACTACTGTGATTTCCGCAAACTTCAGGTGCACAACGGCAGTGCTGTCGAGTGTCTTCTATTCGGGAACGACCCGCAAGCGTAGGACCGCAAGCGTAGGACCATGGAATTTTCGATCAAAGGAAATCTCCTTTCAATGAAATTGACCAAAAAGAAAATCGCGGGTACCTTTTATATCTAAAGCGACTAGTGGTACACCCGCACGACGCACATCATACTCCGGCGTGTCCGGTTCCTCCCAACAAACGGGGAAAAACCACATCTAGCTATTGAATGACTAGCCAAACCGCCCCAACTAAGGCGATAAAAAACGCACCCGTTACCTAGCATACTAACCAATCCCGCGGAGCGCGCCCCCAACCCCCCACGACGCATCGCCTCGAACCACGCGTGCGACCTTCTAAAGGCCAAAAAAGCTCCCAACGAATGCGCCAGCGACCTCATCAGCAAGAAGTGGTGCATCTCTATCAATCGTAGACCGCCCTAATTGAATGAATGGTCATTCTTTTGCGCGCTCCATGTACTTCTTGGAATCGATGTCAACCCTAATCTTTTCGCCGGTGGTGATGAACAGGGGCACGTTGATAATCGCTCCGGCGGCCACCTTTGCCGGCTGCGGGCAAAAAATAACCGCGTGCATGACACAAAATTTCCGAGGGCGCGGCCGGCGGTACAGTGATCAGGGAGGGAGTGGAAGTGAGGCGGGGTGGACTGGGAGGCGGGGCACCATCTGATATTGCTGGCCACGGCCACGTTGCTGGCCCACGGCCATCCGACCTTTCACTTCGAGTTAACAAAGCGCGGAATAACTGCTGCCGTCTGCACCAGACTACCCGTCCTATCACAGACATCTATGCATACAGACGAAACACGTGAGTGGTGCGTGCATGCAGAGCCGGACCCAGCATGTAGACGCCCTTCGCCGGTTGCAATCAATCAAGAAAGGCTTGGCCATTCGACCACCACGTTCCGCACGCAACGGTCGTTATATCTACAACGAGTCCATCGAAACAACGCGGGACGCGGGGGGGTGCTGCCCCGCCAAAACAACTGCTGTCATGTAGTATTTGCCTTATCCGGACGATGATTTTCGTTCTCTGAACGACAATGTACGTTCTCCGAACGGAAATCTTGGTTTCTCCTAACGATAATTTTCGTTTTCCGAACGATAATTTGCGGTCTCCGAACGACAATTTTCGTTCTCCGAACCATAATTACCTTCGTTGCACCCTGTGCGGTGTTCCCCTTCTCCCCGGGGTCCGTCTCCACCACCTCAAGGATCATCTGCTTCGGCAGGGTCACCTCGATCACCTTCCCCTTGAAGTACGTAGCCTGCGCGATGGAGGGAACGGGCGTGGGGAAGAGGTTCGCAGGATCGAAAAGAGGTTGCGTTGGTTGTATGGGCGGGTCACCTACGAAGGGGGAAGTGTCAATCATCGAGAGGGTTAGATACCAAATGTGTACCGTGGTGCACCATCTTCGCATTGATGAAGACCGTTTCACTTGGGGCGGGCAGTTGAGAGCTGGAACTTTACGGCGGTGCCTCTGAACATTTAATTTGCACAGGGAGAACCAGACTACTCCACCCTACAGCCCCATGATACCTGGACTAGCGCGAATACACAACCACCGTTGAAAACCGGTAACACAGCTCGTTCGAAAGCACCAGCCGCTGGCCAAATCACCAAGCCAATCCAAAACCGTCGGCCATCCGCTCGAAGGAGCCAATCCCGCACCAACTTTGTCTACCCGCGTAGCCCGCTCCCTCCCTCCCCACAATAGAAATAATTCCGGCCCACGTCATCCTTCTCAACCCCTCTGCGGAATATCTGGTTCAGAAAAACTCAAGCATGATGGCCAGCTTCTGGATAACCCTGGTCAAACCTACGCTGGGCCGGCGAAAACACGGAACATCGCCCCGTCCCAGCATTGTAGGGATGGGAGGGGTCCAGGTCTGAAGACTACGGCATGGGCGTACCCCCCCCCCCCCCTCCCCCCGCCCCTCTCCCGCTCACCGAAAGCTCCATTCCCTCCAGGAAGAAGCCCGCCTTGTCCCCCACAACCTTCTCCGCGATGGACACCTCTTCGTAGGTTGCCGAGTCCATGAAGTAGTACATGTCCCCTTCCTTGTACGTGTACTGAAGGTCGACCTTGTCCACCTGCGCTTGTTCTACCGGTTCTCCCTGGTTTCGTGCAAGGCGGTGCCACGCGCCAGAGTGAGAGCAACGAGAGTGTTTTGACACGGAGGGAAGGAGGGAATCATGATGGCATGGGCGTATCCGGAGTTGGATGAGGAACGAACAAAACGACTCCTGGTCTAACATGCATGACCAAACATCGATACCAGGATGCCTGTGCTGCAGGTCCGCGCGGACTGCAGGCTTGATGCGACTTATCGAAGCGGACATCAAATCATTCGACTAGTCAGGGTGCTGCAAGTCCGCACGGCCTGCGGGCTTGATTCGACTTAAAGAAGCCAAATCACACCGTTAGACTAGTCATAGCTGATTAGTGCAATGGTTTGATTTCGGCTTCAATAGACTGCGCCGTGGAGTTTGGGTGGGTCGCCCTGTTTTCTTAAGCGCGATGAGCGCGCACGACGGCATCAAGAGTGGAATTTTCCCCACAATATTATGAAACAGAAGTATAAGAGAGAAAAAAAAAGTAGAAGGTTCAGGTTCACTCTCTCTCTCTCTCTCTCTCTCTCTCTTTAAGGCAGTCGTTCAATCTGCGGGGACCCCCACCAGACACAATCGCAACACCAACACCAAAGCTGAGCAGCGTTCATCCTTTTCTCCTCTCACCGCCCGAAACGTCTTCTCCAAAGAGTTGCCCGTGATGAGGTTCTTGACCTTTGTTCGCACGAACGCCGACCCCTTGCCCGGCTTAACGTGCAAGAACTCCAGAATCTTGCAAGGGTTGCCTGGGTAGCGGGGCGGCAACGACAACATCGGGTGGGGAGAGTCACGAGCAAAGCCATCGCGTCGACGGGAGCAACGCGGTTGTGGCAGCCCTTCACTGGCGAAGGTTGCGAGCCACTGAGAGGGAAAAAAAAAAAAAAGGACAAAGAATACTGCCGACACTTATCCACTGTGGTGGTTCCAGTGTCGCGGTTTCGCACACACCCCCAAAGCCAAAGACGCGAAGCTCGGAGAGAAACTAGGCGTGGGCGGGGGCGTTCGTGGTCGCAGCACCAGTAAATAGGCATGGATCCTTGGTCTGAACCACGCTACTGCCATGGAGTTGTCCCGCTATTCGCGTCGTGCCGCAATACAAATGGACGCCACCCGCAAAACATCCCGTGATCTACTACTGCCTATTCGGGTGGGGCACGGTCGGTCATTCCACCAAGCAGCTCCTGCGCCGCGTCAACGTGTGTTGCACGAAGACAGCGAGATGTTTGATCACAATGCCATGTTCTGTATCTTCGTATTTTTCCTCATCGCACAAACGAGCCACGACCAGGCGCTTGTAGGAGCAGCGCCCTTTGTCCATTTGCGGGAGGCACACAACACGCACGCACCAGTGGTACAGGGAGCACGTCAAAGTGCCTGACGCATGGGTGCGATACTGCGGCGTGCTCTACATAAGACCATGAAAGGCCGCCAGCGTGAACGACCAAACAACGCCAACTTGTTGGCCAACAAGCTTGCAGGCCAGCAGCGGTGTGCCGGAACGCACTCAAACCTCCCGGCGACCCAAACACACGAGAAATCAACCCAAACACATACGACCACAGCGACCTCACAGCAGAACACGTGAGAAGAGAAAAACCAAACAGAACCATCCTTCAAGCCAGCCAGATACCACATCATCAAACACACAATAGAGATAATTTCTGTTTTCAGCCGCACTGGAACTGACGTCTTTTCATTCGTCAGTCGGTTAGCGCAGTCGACGCTTAACCCTTTGCGTGACTGGGTTAATTTGTTTTTTTTTGTTTTTTCCCCACAATTGGCTCTCTGCGGTCAAAGATCTTCCAAGCATGCGTGTACACCCATAAATCACGGCGGCAAGAATGGTACAGCAGTGGGTCCATGTGTGGGGCTCACAGGGATGGGGACGCGGTATATGTAAGGGTAACGAACAGGAGTACAGTACAAGCCGGGCCAGCCAAATTGCATGCAAAATGGTTGGAAACGATTTACACCACGATTTCTACGAATTAGAACCTGAAATTTTGATATGTGGTCGGTATTAGTACAACCAAGACCTTGACTGGAGCACCCTTCTTTTCTTTTCTTTTCTTCACGAGGTAGCCCTGTTAAAGGACAAATGGTGATCCTTTTTTAGTATATAGGTGGACAAAAAAAAAAGAGGGTGCTTCCAGTCGAGGTCTTGGTTGTACTAATACCGACCACAGTCAAAAACTTCAGATTCCAACTCGTAAAAATCGTGGTGTAAATCGCGATATCCTCATATTCCCTCAGCTATCTTGTCTTTTGTATATGAATCTTTACGAGGCCATAACTTGTGATGGAAGATGAATTGAGCCCTGTAACTACCATCGACACCCTCGCACTACTCTCAGGTACGTGCACACCAAATTTCAGCTTGATCTGAAAAACTTTTTTTATACTGATTTCAGTACCAGAGGTATCGGGTACTACGCAGTCAGTTGATCGTGTAATACCTAAATCAACTCAGATTCGAAAAATTCTGGTACCTGCGGTTTCCCTATTGTCTTGTACGAGCAGCTGCCAAATTTCAAGCCTAAACTCGTTTAAACGGCAGCGTGAGACGCCTAAGAACAAACATGACCTTCTTGGCTGGCCCAGCTTGTAGTACTACTGCTGTACAGCAGTAACAGCTATGCGGAGAGAAATAGACTGTACAGCAGCAGTAGTTTCTGAGCAGGTGTGCATGCCGGTCTCCGACAGCAAACGTCCGCACAGAGGGTGTACCTGTGCAAGCAATACCTGTTGGCACATCTTCTCCACCTCATCCTTGGACAGAGCATACGGCAAGCGCAAATGCTAGCGGCGCTAGATGCGAAGACGCTCGCGGGAAACCGCCTCACAGAAGCGCCAGATCGACGAAAAAAACGGCCCGCTCATCAGAGAATCGAGACCATCATCCACTATCGCACAAAATGCATAAAAATCGTGATAAAATTCTGTACTACAAATAGAGAGCTGTGATCGGAGCTGTGATCGGAGCTGGAGTCCCGAAAACCCTTGCCTTTGAGCGAAAATTTGCACACAGCAGACGAACCACCCTTCACTCCCAATACTGGGAACCACACGCACCGCAATCACAACAACATCAAGTACCGAGGCAGTACGTTAGCATCGGCTCCGGTGTGCGCTTTCTCTGCTCTCCCCCGCGGATACGGCACCGGGTTGATCACATGTTCAGGGTGCTGTATGTACCCTCCGGTGGTGTGTTGCGTTTGAATCTTACAGTACCGGTAGGCAGTAGATTGGATCTGGAAAGGATATCTGCCCCACGTCAGAGAGATTAGGCATGGGTGAAAAATATGTACAATGTGAGTCCTGTGCGCATTGCTGATAAGCGTGCTGTTGGGGCGTGCTGCCTCTGTCTCCCTGATGGTCTCTATGTATGTTTTTTGCTCTTAGCCGAGGCACAACGGCGATCTTTCGGCACGCAAAGCGACCGGAGCTGAGAACGGAGCCTAATCCGCCTGTCATCACGCAAGGGTAAAGAAGAGATACACACCAAAACATTTCGTCGGCCGGTTTGTGCGGTCGAAGCTAGCGATAAATGCACACATACGCCACCGCACCGTCAATGTCGATGGTCATCCCGTTCTTGAAGTCTGCCGTAGACCCCATCGATAGCGCCCCCACCCCCCCGCCCCTCGCCGTTCGCGGACCCGCGGCGGCCGTCCATCGCGTTACTCCTCGCTGCTGCTGCTGCTGCTGCGCAAACGATCCCTGCAACCATCAAGAAAACACACGCACGGTGAAGGGCCCAGGGGGGGCAAGGTCATACTCGGCATGCGGGGTTATCAAAGACGCTGCAAAATTCCTCCCTAGCCTCGTGCGTCGGAGAATAAGAAAAAGAGTGCGCCGAGCTCTACGAAGGGGTTAGCATGTTCAGGTAGCGAGTTGGGGGGGTCGAGGGTGGGTTGCAGGGCGTGTGTGTTCGACACGGCTATGGAAGGCGCGTTCCGACACCAAATGAAATAAATGCCGATGTGTAGTGAAAATTTCAATGCGTGCTGCAGGGCAGCATCGACACGGCTGTGGAAGGCACGTTACGACACAAACTACTGACTCCACCGCAGCTTCGAAATATTTTGTTACGACATAAACTACTGACTCTACCGCAACTTCGAAATATTTTGTAAAGAACCATACCCGAAGTGTAGAAATATTTTGTTAAGAACAAAAAGAAAATAGGGTACAGAACAACACAGCTAAGCGGTGGATCCTTTACACAAATCTATATAACATGTGGTCGGCTGTAGCGATATATCAAGAAGCTGAGCCTCGACCCGGTTATCGACGTTTCTTGTCTCCGTGTCCGTGCTGTATTGCGTGCTCCTGGGCAGAGGTTCTGCGTCTGAGGGGGGTGTGCCCCAACAGGACCCTCACTCGACACGAGACCTCTCGACAAGACCTCTCGACAAGACCTCGGCTACCACAAAGGGCGGCAGCAGCGTACCGGTATTGCTGCTGTGGCTCACCTGTCGGAGAGTCGCCGACGGCAAGACGAACGCCTCGGCCCCCAAGAGCCCGAGGCCTGATCGTTCCGATCGATCCATCCATCGGTTCGGACCGGTCGATTCATCCATCGATTGATTTGGTGGTGGGTGAGTGCCGACGATGAGGAGAGCCGGTTGGGTGCGCATACAGACAGGGTGGGTAGCGTTAGACGAAGCGGGCATGAGGTTTGAGAGGGGTACGAACGAGGGTGTGCGCTGGTGTTGTACGAAGTTGTCCTACCGGGGTAAAATGGAGTACGTATGTAGGATATAGTTGTAGTCTAGCTGGCAAGGTTAGGAAGGCATGGACGTACCAAAGTACGGTTGGCGAGAGCGCCCAAACGTTTCCTATTATTTTCCTATCCATCTCCGACTTCCGAATCTGAAGGTGCTTGATTCGTTTGCTGTCGTTTTGTTGCGACCGGTTTTGTTCTAGTCGTTACGTGTCGTTCGAAAATGAAACATCGCTGTTAGGACCTCTTGCACTATCCAACACTTACTTTCAAGACGGACCGCCTTTGCGAGAAATTAAGTTAATGAGGAAATAGAACAGGGAGGGGATACGCAGACCCTAACCCTGACCCTATCCCTAACCCAACCCAACTTCCCCGATTGCATGCTTACCAAACATGTTGACTAATCGAAAAACCCTGCGATGGCTGCATGTACCCTGTCTCCAACGGGTAAAATTCGCTACAAACCTCTGCTACAACCGTTACTCCAAGGCAGAAAACGAGTTTCTGGTTTCTAATGGTCGCATGAGCTGCGGCAATATACTGGAAAAACCACGGTATTAACATTCTGTCCCTGTTGGACGACAGCAGTGCAAGCATAAAAGGCGAAACACATGCTCGCGAGTGTGTGCGAACGTCCCCCAGGTCATCCTCGCCAAGCACAAGGCAATACGTCACATGAGACTACTGCTGTAAAACTACTTCTTTTGCTGGGGTTTTGGCGACATGAGAATCAAGACCAAAAACGCGAGTTCTGCCTTGGTTGAGGGACACGCCATGAATGTCCTACTGCTTCTCTCTGCGTGACGGGACAACAACGCCGATGCAAGCAAGCAAGCCCCCCGTTGCCGTTGCGCCGAGACGCCAGAGGTGCACAGCGGCTCCCTGTCGCTTGTGACAGTACTGAATCTGGCATATTTTCACAGCACGGGCTAACCCACGCTTAGAACGGTACCTCTTGCTTCTTCGTTGAGACCTCAACATATCTGGCAAATATTGTACGGAGGTAGGTCCTCGATCATCTATCGAGAGTCGGCACATGACAGCGAGGCAGGCTCTGAGCGGTATGACACATGAACGAGAGCAACGACGGTGCGTGTCGAAGACACCAACACAGCAGCCTTGCCGCATGTTTCTTCAGTCCGAATATGCAGCCCAGACAAACACGCTACAGTGATGCCGACAGCATCGTGTACGTCTCTTGAACTCACCCACAGCCACCGACAAGGTAATAGCAGGTCGTCCCATCCTTGATAAGCAAACACAGCGAGTGTACGTTGGTGTTGCACCCCCTCGCGCTCGCAAGCGCTTGGGCAGAGGGCACGAAAGAGTGGACTTTCGCTACATCCCCAAAGTAATTGCCATGGTTATTCTCTGTGCGCCCCCCACTGGGTCCGCGTCCTTGGGCTGTGGGGCGATCCAGTCGGTCCCACTGGACGCAAGCCCCCATCAACGGCACCATGCGAGGATTGCTTACTCTAGCGTGTGCTTCGGCGGCGGTAGCCTCGGCGAGCGCGTTCTTGGTGTCTACGCCGTGCGCTCCCTCCTCTTCCTCCGCTGCTGCTGCTGGCCGATTAGCATGTCGTCGAGCGATGAGCATGAGCAAAGGGTTCGGGTGAGTGTTTGAGCAACAGCGCGCGCTAGGAGCCAGCAAGCAGGGACAAGGAGAGAACTGCGTCGCCGAGAGACGAGGTTGGATTGAAATTTGTCTGTAGTACCTACCCCACGGGTGCCAGCCAGCGTCGTGAAGCTGTTTTCGAGAGATATCTGTCGGTAGCTGCTCGCGGGCAAGCGCTGGAATACGTCACCGGTGGGTGTACCTGTTCACAGCCGCTGTGCTGCTGTGTGTGAGTCGTTCGTTGCTCACCAGCTGGTGCTCTCGCTTGCAATGACGACAGGGAGCCTCCCCCGCCGAAGAAGGTCAAGGCGCCCAAGTCAGAGAAGAGCATTCAGGTGACGCAAAAAAAGTGTTCCCTGCTGCCCGGTTCTCGTGGGCGAAGATTTCAAGATTTCTGCTGATGCGACTCGCCGCACACGTACTTGAACCAGCTGACTCGATCGCTGTCACACCACATTGATTTTTGTGGCCTCAGGTTTTTGAGGTGCATATATGTATACGGCTTGGTAGACGTGAACCGCGTTGTGTGCGTGCTCCATGTGGTTATCATTCCCGATCCTCCTCACACCTCTTCCTTCGTGGCAAGAGAGATACACGCAGCGGTCGTCGTTGATGGATCAAGTAAATTGAATCTTACAATCCAGTTTTGCCCTCCTTAGACTAATGGTAAATGGTGTGGGTACCAAATGCAGCAGCAGGTCACCCATCACGGCCTTGATGCTCCAAACCTCGAAAAATGGCCCATCGTCGCCCCCCACACCGATCGACGACATTGGCTGCTGCGTTCCCGCTAGGAGCTCCTCCGAAAGAAATCAATAAACGCTGCATGGCAGAGTTGCGGCATAACTCGCAGGAGTAGATAGTGGAGCACGCCATTTTGACCAGCAATGCTACATACACGACAAAAAAGAGGCGTGCTTACAAACGTGTGTCCGCGAGGGGGACAAGCGGGAAGAGCGTGGTAAGACGGGTGGAGACGCCGGGCTGTGAGGCGGCGAGGCTGGCCTGCTATCTTCCTTCTGGGTCTTACGTACGTCCCGAAACGGGGTGTTTAGTAGGCCGAAATCAATCCGTCAGACTAGTCAGCCGCTGACTAGTGGTTGACTAGCCTAATGTTCGGCTTCTAAAGGTGGTACTATCAACTACGCAGAGGCTACGGGAGGAGGAGGGCGATGCATTCCACGTATGCTCGCGTTAGGTATATGTCGGCAAGCTCGAAGCTCCAAGGGACAACGAATGGCCGGAGGCGAATCTGGCGACGACTTCGGGCGGGTAGCAGGCGTAGGGGGGGAGGCGGGCACCGACCAGGCCACGGCCCCGCCGGTGACAAGGCTGAACTTGGGCGGCCAAAAAATGGGAGTTCCTCTTGGTGGGTGTTTCACTCCTGTCATTGTTTCAGTCCTGTCATTGGAGCCTCGGGAGAGAGGTGCAGCGCTGCGGCCGGGGGGTCCTAAGTCTGCTTCCAACGCGTGGGAGAAGTCTCTACTTCGGATGGTGGTGCGACGGTGGCCGTTTAGCCGCGGCGGCGGCGGCGGCAGCGGTACTGTTGCGACCCGGGGTTCCCCTTGCCGTCGTTATGCTGGTCCTCGTCGTCTCTCATTCGGCGACGATGGGTTCGTGTCACAGGTTTCAATTACTTATCTCTGGCAGGCGTTTTCGACTTCGGTGTCGATTTTGTTGAGATTTTTGTTAAAGCTTCTGTCTCCCTCCTCTCTCTCTCTCTCTTTTTCTTCGCCTCATACCCACCCAATCGACTTGCGCCTTTGAAGAGAGACGCCGCCGCGAAAGCTTACGAGGAGATGTCGGCGGCCGGTATTCCTGAGTACAACATCCTCATCAAGGTAAGCAAAACAACGTCAGCCTCCATCATGAAAACTTAACCCGACAGTTGGCACGAACACCTCACGACAGCAGACAAAAAGTCAAGTGGTCTTCAGTGCCACGATCACAATCATTCGCACTGTATATTGTGAGATATCTTGTGGTCGAACATCTGCTGCGGATGGATGACTCCCTTGCTTCTAGCGGGGGTCCCTGTCCCGTACCAACGTCTGATCGTTTTTTTTCATGGGCACCATGTGCGCGCCTGCTGCAAATGCCGTCGGCACAACGGATGGGGATCGTTGCCGTTGCGTGACCCCAACTATTTGATTTTTTAACTCCGAAATGAGGGGTGAGTGTGTATCACTGTGCGTGCAGACCGCTGGTTTCTTCCTCACAGAAATATCGTGCACTTTGTGCGCAGCCAGTGGGGGTACAGCTACAGTATACTATTTGATTTTTTAACTCCGAAATGAGGGGGTAAGTGTGTATCACTGTGCGTGCAGACCGCTGGTTTCTTCCTCACAGAAATGTCGTGCACTTTGTGCGGCAGCCAGTGGGGGTACAGCTACAGTATACTGTCGCTGTTGTCCCTCCCGGTAGTCTGTGCCGCAAGTGTGGGTGTAGGGACAATGGAAGAACCCGACCGGCTGCTTGAATGGATTGTTGTGCTTCCTTGTATTCACAAGCATGGCTTGTTTCCCGGCATCCGGTGGCGCGACGGCAGGAGGGATGCCGTGGACTGGGTATGTCGTCGTCTGTCTTGCGTTCTGCGGCAAGCGGGCGCCGCGCCGTGGGAGGTCCGACCGGCAGTGTTATTTGTCAGCAACAAGTATTCCCGTTGATGACGACGCAAGCATCAGCTCACTCGAAAATCTTTCTTTCCCGTAACTTTCGGCTTCGTTCTTTTTGGCGTACATCATCCAGCCTGCGGGAACCGATGACTACTTGCCTGCGGGAGTAATGGCCGTGCCTAGGAGCCAGCAGGTTTCCGAAGCGATCTTCGAGCAGGAGGAGAACCTGAAAAAGGTGGGTTAAAGCCAGTGCCAGTGTCGGGGGGGCTTGCTTCGATACCCGTCTCTCCCGGAAAAGGAAATCAGCTTCACCCGATAGGTAGAACACGAGAATCAAGATGGTCCGTGCTTGGGACGGAGGGGGGAGGGGCGACGTCGTGAAGCGTGGCCGGGGAGGGGGGTGTTCCTCTGTGAATATTGGTGCTCAATGACGCGTACGTTTTGTGGCAAGGAGCAACATCCCTACTCCTCAACGAGAAACCACGATCGTTCAGGCTCTCTCTCGTTTCCTCCCCCCTTGTGTTAGCGGAGCGTTCGTTCTCATCATTCCCCTTGCTTGTGAGCGAGCCTGGTGGTACCACGAGTGATCTGTCATGACAGGTGCAGCGATTGTTGTCTCGCTGTTATCTAGTGTAATGTAGTGCGCCAAATTCTACCATTCCGCATCCTTCTGTTCTTTTCGGACGGGGGCTACTGTTTCGGAGGGTAGGTTGGCGGAGACTTACTTGCTTTTGGGAATATACGGCTGGCATAGGGCCCCTTCGCGATAGCGGTGCAAGTGAGGTTCGCTCTGCTTCTCGATTACCGGTATCGTCTTGCGGCGTAGTGCCGGCGGCGTTGCTGGGGCTTGGGAGGTGCTACCAGCGCAAACCCCACCGCCGCATGGCTGCCGCCGCCTTCCTACGTTGCGCTCGTGACCTAATCTACATGCCGATGCAGTGGTGGGCCGCTCCTCTCTAAGGGATGGCTTGTGCCAGGACGATTCGCGCGCCCTACAGAAGGGCGCCCGGCCTGTTCAACGTTTAAAACTACTGAATTTTTCTGTATGTACCAAGGGCCAAGGGCCATTCCTTTATAGGGCGGGGCATGTGCCTGGATTATTCACCCAACCTATAGCGAGCGCCCGGCCTGTTCAATGTATTCGAAGTTGCTCAAATTTTCTCTCTGTGCCAAAGAGGTTTCACCTACCGCCCTGTACCGGCCCGACGGCCGCCCGACGGAAGAACCCTGACCGTTCTTTGGCACTACGAATTTTTCATGTCTCGGGTGTCACTTGCGTGTCACGCAGGCGGCGTTCCGGGTATACGACAAGCTCGCCGCCTACGACGAGTTCGAGTACGGCTACACCTTGAAGGTTCGTTCGTGCGAGGGGGGGGGGAGGGATACTCGTAGCCGTGCATGCTGCAGTCGTTGGACGCGTGGACCATTGACCTGCCAGAAGAGGGGATGCATTCAATAGAAGTACAAGTACGACATTTGTGCATCCTGGGAAACGTGTGCGGGATGGGACGTTGTTTGGCGCCACCGTCGTGGTATATAGAATTTCTCCTCGTGCGATGACATGAGGCACATGGAACCCAAGCACCATCATGAAGAGCATGTCGCGGTGGGTGTGCTACGTAGCGGGTTCACGGAAGCACCTTACCAATCAAACCACAGATTTGGAGCGGCTACACCCCGTACAAGAGTTTGACCTGCCTCGCACTTTTCATCTTTTGATACCGCTAGCCCGGACACAACTGCCATATTCTGGTGTTTGTTTGGTGCCGAGTGTTGTAATCGGGCGGCGCAAAGGCCCTCCCTCCCCCGGCACCCTCAGCACCGGCGGACGTAGGATAGTCCATTGTTCTTTGTGTTGCCTGCCATGATTATTTGTACCCCAGGCTGTTTGCGACGCCTCCATTTTTCCTTGATAAGTGTGTTCGGGGCTCGTGTTGTCCTGTACGCTCTCTTCACGGCGGAGACGCCCAAGCACAGCTAGCTCTATTATAGGTTATCAACAGAACCCATTTGCCTCACTGCTGTCCAAATCGGTGTGTTGCTTGCACGACTCCTCGCTTGAAGATAACTCCCTGTTGGTGATGCCGCCCTAATTTTGTCGAAATCCCACTCTTTTTTTCCGTCTTGTTCACTGGTTGGCGGTGCCGTCTATTTGTGGTCCTTGCGGTCGGGCGGTCGGGCGCGGCGGCGCAATTAATCCAGATGTTCCCGGATGACCCCGTGACTCCGATCGAGAAGCGAGCACCGTCCACGAACCCAGTTGGGAAATTCTTCGAGGGACTCCTGAGCCCGGTCAACACCGCGGGCATGAAAGGGCCGGAAATCAACCCCCCCCCGAAGTAGAGAAAACTTGTGCCTTCATTTTTCCTCGCAGAAAATAATACACCTCCTGTCGACGTTAGATTTGATAGATGGTGTGGGATGGGCGAGACACAAATCGACGTATCGTAGCCATCGCCAACCACTTGGCTTATGAAGCCTTTTGCAAGGGTATTTTCGACGACGAAACACAGCCTTGCTTCGCCTAAAGGCTTTTCATACCAAAAGGATTCGGAGCCGGTTTACCTTCGAGCTGGCTCGTTTTCTATCCGTACGAATTCGTTATGTTTTTAAACGCCATCGACTACTTGTTGATGAGTTTCCACCACGGCCAATAGGTTGGGATCTCGGTAGTAGTGCAGATAGAAACGACCAGGACCACTGGCTGGTTTATTTTAGAACTGTCCGGGGCGGGGGATCGTTGATAAGGAGACGGGTGACATGTGAAGATCGAAGGAGTTGGGTGTTCACAAGCTACCCGGGCATCCAAAGAGGCCGGAATGAGATACGCTGAGCCTTGGGGACGGCAGTTGTTTTAGATCATGTATTCCGCCGCGTTGGCATAGAGTGCGTGCCGATGGTTTCCCATTACTGTGTCGCGTTTGTTGGTCGAATTGGGCATGGCAAGTGTCTCCACACAGCAGGTACGTGAAGAGCGGCGCCTGTAGTGTCTCTGACACGCGTCTACCCTGTGGTAGAGTAGGCTCCAGTATACGTTCACTAAAGTCATTCCCACCATTCCCACTCTTCACTCAATGAATTATGGCATCTCTTTAGTTATGGTCTATTTGAAAAAGTTGAGCTCAGCACGACTCAGTTGGACTCCTGTCTAGCGGGTGAGACATTACACAGCTGCGTAAACTCCCACAAGATAGGAACTTTCGGAAAATCACAAACGCCGCAACCACGCGCGCAGGCACGCACGCGGTTCTTGTACTGGGGTCACCGGCACACATCGCCGATCTCCCTCAGCGCTCGCACCACCTCCTTCGCCATGAGCTTCCCGTCTGTGTGCCCCCCACCGCGGAACGCTGTGACCGGCACCGTGATGCGGTCTCCGTCTATGTTGTAGCCGAGACCGTACCCGTTGCCGGCTACAGGGCCAAACCTGGGATACATAGTGGTGCAGTTAAAGACAAGGGAGGATGCTCATGTAAACGAATGGCTGACGTGGTCGTTAGACCATAGACCTCGAGTCCCTAGAATGCCGGGACGGAGGGATGTGCCCAGGCTACTAACAGGGGGTAAAACAAGACGGTGGCGAGGGAGCCACCCTAACAAAGAGCGGACCACACACTCACATAAACACCGGCTACGTATGGGTGAACGGATAAGCGCTGCATGGCATACGCGTACACTTGCCCCTCTGATGCAGTGGTGCTCGAAGTGTGTACGTCGTGGATGACGCAGCCTCCGCTCCGACGTGGGCGATGGGGTCTAGCATCCTTTTCGGGCAATATGTGCCCAATTGAGATCATTCCATTCCAATACCTTTGGTTTGGAATGCTCCGTGAACATGAAATCCTTCCGTTCCGGTCAAACACAAAATACTGCGGTATCAACGGCTACTGTGAGAGCCCTGCATGCTCTGCGTGTACGACTCGCCTCTTGCACCCCACTCATAGCAGTCAAAATAATCTAGCACTCGCGCATTCACCCCACGACAACAGTATTCAGAATACCCCGCTCGCTTCCCTCTCCTCCATATGTCTCTCTCTCCACCTCTCTTGTCTCTCTATGTCTGTCTGCCCGAATTGTCTGTCCGCATGCCTGCCTGTCCGTCGCTTGCCTATCTGCCTCTAGGTGTAACCTCCCTCCATTCCTCCCCCTCTCTCATTCTCACCCGAAGGAGCCAAGGAAAGGCGGCGAAAGGTTGCTGGTAGACAGCCTCCACCCTGCGCTCTCCGCCACAAGCGGGTCCCCGAAAAACTCCTCCCCCGCACGATTCCCCTCGCCACCACCACCAGCCTCCGCCGCCGCCGCCGAGCGCATGGCCAACATGTGACGGTCCACCCCTTCACCTGTAGCGGCAGCCTTGGCGACCGTGATGTGTTTGGTAGCGGCGGCGTTCAGGGCCTCGCGGAGGGTGTCCTTTCCCTTGGACTCCGATTCCATCGCCGACACGAAGTCCGCGGATTCTGGGGGAGGAAGGGAGGGAGGGAAAGAGAAGCGGGCGAGGGAGAGAGACAGAGAGCCGGAACGGGCAGCGCTCGTTGACCTTGGTCAATTCAAAAATCGATCACGGGTCACCCGTTTCGAGGCAGAATATGACCGCTTCTTCTCGTACCCGACCGAGACGCCACCGACAACCTTCCTGCACGGTACGCTTCTCTGCAGTTTATTCGATAAATATCAATATTCCAATCCTCTGCTCGTCGTAGTGACCACAATCCTTTTCCATTCTTGTGCAACCATTAGCTCGGCGAGTTTCACAACAAGAAGTGCGCGTGCGCGCGCGTGTGTGTCTTTATTGACAGCATTGCCTTTATTCTTAGCATCGAAGTGCGCGCGCGCTCGTGTGGTATTATTATTGACAGCATTGCCTTTATTCTTAGCATCATCCGCGCTAACCGACTGGCCAATGAAAAGACGCGCGTGTGTGTGACACTTAGAAACTAACACGCAACCCTCCAACAGGCGGACAGGTATGCATATACCGCCCCAGCAGCCGCACCTGTCGTGCAGCTGCGAATGACCTCCGTCCTCCCACGGTGGAACCAGCGGGTGGTGCAGCTCTCGTACACCGAGGGCATCGTGCCGTGCAGCCTCTTGAAGGCCAGCTGGAACGCCATCTGGGCCACTGCGTCGGGGCTCATCTTCCACTCCTGCCGCACGGCGGGGGTACCGCAGAATCACGCAGCGAGGTAGGGTGGGCGTCTAACGTCACCAACGGACCCGCGTTTCCCAGGAATTGGACAAGCACGAAACGAGTGGTTCTTCCAAGGCGAAAAACGTGCGAACGCATAAACGTCTGCTTTGCGCCTGTTGGGCCGCTAGAGGGAAAATAAAGCAGCGGAATATCAAGCAGTACGACACGGCTTGAACGCCATAGAGCCGCGCACGCGTGCTACTTCCACCCCCAAATCCTTCGTACAACAACAAAAACAACATCCCCCCCAAAACTTCGTACGAATGAACACAGACCCCCCCCCAAAAAACAATCACATAGTTGTCCCTCGACCCCCCCACGCAACAACACAACCCAAGCCACCTTGCAAGAGTCCTTCCCGAAGTCTCGGAACTCCACCGGGTCCAGCGTGTACCCCTCGCAGGCCTCGTCGAACTCCTTCCGGGCACTCGCCAGCTCCCGCTTCAGCTCGTACGGCAGCTTCCACAGCAGCTCTCTCGGCGGCGGCGGCGGCGACGCGAGCAGGGGGGCCTTCGGGAAGAGCAGCACGCCCCTCGACTGCACGCTGTACATGTCGTGCCAGATCTTTCCACGGTTAAGCGTTGGGCAACAAAACGGGTGGTTTGACGGGTCGGGCGGGGGCGGGGTGGGCAAGCACGGGCTGGATTCCGGATGTCTTTGCCACCGGTATATAGCAGACTACCTAACATGGTCGTGCACTCCTTCGTTTGAGGAGGCGGACAAAGGAGGCGCGGGGACCGTCTGTTTTCAAGCGTTTGAGACTGCGAGTCGCCGTGTGTTGGCGGAACGGGTTTTCCAACACTGTGCGGACGCTGGTCGTGCGCGCCCGCGGAAGGGCCGGTTAGAAACGATCGCATAGATCGTATAGATACCACCCACCGCTGACGCCCGTTCTCTCTCTCTCTCTCTCTGTGTGTGTTTCGGGTTAATGGGGGAGGATCTGAACCAGTCGGCATCGATACACCCCGGAGTCTGTTCGAGGCGCACAGAACAGAACGCAAAAGCCCTCCATGAATGCCTCCAAAGGATACGTTGCCGTGGCCGCAGCGATCGTGTCGAGGCAGAAGAAAACACCTGCGTTGCTGATTGTTTCTTGGGAAAATGATCTCTCGCTTCGAAGAAACCACCAAAACCTAGCTTAGTTCCGTCAAATGCACACGGACCAAAGCCCTAGGGGGCAAAAAACAAGCAAAGCTGAGGTGCTGGTGTGCCTTGCCTACTGTACCCGCACGATTATTGGAGCGTTTTCGTCTCGTACCTCGCCGAGCATTCTTGTCCAGTCCATCCCGTCCGAGAAGGAGTGCTCGAAGTTTACGGCCATTTTGCCGTTCTTGAGCACCACCTAGATATAGAGAGGGCAGGACCAGCATCAGTACCAACGAAATAGCCGTCGCGCCAGTGGGATCAGTCAACCAAGGCCAAAATATACACCAGGACGGCGATTACACCACAAACACATGTATAGTGTTGCGCGAATTCTCCTGCGCTTGGCAGAAGCTCTTTCTTCTGCGGCGCAAGAAGTGGAGTTGTAAAGCAGACAACACAGCGGCATCTTCGATCATGGCCGAGAGGCGATTCCCGGTTGACCGTGCCGCACCCCACGTGCCGCCTTAAGTGGGACGAGCTTCTTGTTGACGGACGCGTCGAAAGAGCAGCAAGGACGTCGAGTCCCATCCACGACACAATCGTTTGGGGAAAATACGTCCCTTTCGGGGCCGAGGTATCACCCAACGGGTGTGAAGCCGTTTCGGGTTAACAAAACCAACGTGTCTCTCACCGACGCGGCACACTCTGCTGCTGATACGCTACACCTCGCACTCAACACGCTATGAAGCATGCACTACGCAGCAGAAAGCCGACACAACCCAAAGCTTCGCCACAAAGAAAAAGGTATGCCCATCGTTCGACCGCGACCGTGTAGCGACACTACTGCTGTTCAGGCGCGTGCCAAAGCAGTCCCGCACAGAGAGCACGCTTGCATGCCACCAACTAAAACACGCAAGTTGGCTGGCGAACGAGCACTGTTGTATTCCGGGTGCCGTGCCAAAGGGAAGAGGGGGCACGCGACATGTCAGTGGTACGCACCAGCTGGTGCTTGTCGAACCACCTGTTGCGGCCCCCGTCTCCGGTAAGAAACGCGCGAGATTCGGCCTGCAGGTCCGGGGTGTCGTGGTCGTCGAGGGCAACGGCAAATATCGCCGAATCGATCTGTACGCAGGAGTGAGAGTGACAGACAAGATAATCGGATAAAGAGAGGGAGAACGGGAGGAAGAGACACAGAGAGAGAGAGAGAGAGAGAGAGAGAGAGAGAGAGAGAGAGAGAGAGAGAGAGAGAGAGAGAGAGAGAGCGGGAGAGGATTGAAGGTAGACAGACAGACAGACAGACAGACAGACAGATCACGAAACGCGTACTCTGCACGCGCGACACCGGCCAAAAATCAGGGATGGCACAGGGCTGGTGTACTGTCCGGCCGGCTCAGGTATTTCAAGGCACGCACACTAACTCCTCCTTCCTCACTTCCATCATTTCATTCCTCCTCGCTACCATTTGGGCAGGCGTGAGTGACGCAGGGAAACAAATAAAACATGGCCGAGTTCGCTTTTTCTTGACGGAACAGCTGTGTGCAAATGCCGAGAGCCCATCCGCAGCGGGCTTATCAAAGACAAAAGCTTGAATGAAAGGTCGTTGTCGACAGACATCACAGAGACGATGCAACTAACTTCGTTCAAATTGAATTCTAACACGGAATCCCTAAGCACGATAAAAAAAAATCACCCATCGACACAACACACAGGTTAACACCCGGTGTAAGCTTTAGCACGACGTATGTACCACGGCGCTAAGAAGGTGCTGGAGAGTAATCGATCCAAAACTAACCGCACACACCCATACACGGCGTCCGAGATCATGACCTTCAGAATAATTCTGTTGTGTGTGGCGCTGCGTTCATCACTGTTGTCGGGCTGAGACTGGCGTCTTTTCATTGGTCAGCCGGTCGGCGAGGTCGATGTCAAAACAAAAGACAGGCAGACGCACACACAATGCCGCCTGCTGGTAGAATGGGGTCTTCTCCTTGTACTTCAGAAGCAGAACACTGCCATCCAACTCCTGCGCCCACAGACCCCCTTGAAGGCACGTTCATGTTCTTTATCCCACTATGAGACGGACGAACTTTCATTGGTCAGCCGGCCAATAGCGTGGTCGATGAAAAACAAAAAATCACCCGCACAAACTGAGGATGACGACTTCTCATTGGTCGGCTGGAAAGCGTCCGTCGACCCTAACAATAAACACACACACACACGAACCTCCGACAACGTGGCACCGTTGGTCGGGGAGAATCCCTTCAGGGCCTCCCTGGCAGCGGCGCACTCGTCCCGCCCCTTGGAGGTGAGCAGGTGCCCCACGAACGAGTTGCCGGGGGAGGGCCCGTAGGGCTCCGAGAAGGCCGAGCTCCGGATCTCGTCGAGATGCTTGCTGAGGTCGTCTTCGCTTATCTACGCGCACGTCGGTCGGTGTGCGGGAGACGGGCAGGAAGGAGGGAGGGATGGAGGGAGGGAGGGGACGGGGGTGCCCAGTAGTACTGCTATACCCGTGGTCGTCGGATCAATTTCCAAGCACCTCTTTTTCGACACAGAGTTCCTTTCCTACCAACCTCGTCGGCACCGTTCGTTCCGGTGGACTTTGCGATTCTGCCACATCCGAGAATGTACAGAGTAGCGCGCGGGGGGAGGGGTGCTCTGCTGGACAGGCGGGTCTCTGTCCGGCAACGGGAAAAGGTTTCCGACATAGGGAGGCGTATGTTGGTCCGTCCGGGGTTGTATTCTGCGTAACCTAACCCCCCCCCCCTTCTGGTTGTCATGCCCGAAACATACACGAAAAAAACAATTGTTCGATCGTTCAATTATTGCACATGACGCACCTGCGACTGGCCGTCCTCCCCTCCAAGCAGCTCAACCTTGAAGATGCGGTTGTTGCAGAAAACCACCGCGTGGCGGGACTCAGGGTAGTGCTGCACCGTATCCCGCCCCTTTTCGGCCACCCTCGCCCCGCCGCCCTGCAGAGCGTACCTGATGGTGCACGGCGTACCGAGATTGTTCGTGATCCTGCTCGAAAAAAAAAACCCAGGTGGGCACGCCAGACGCACATGCCCTTGTACACTCAAAAATAAAATGCTGTGATTTTCTACAATTAGCGCTATAATAGGACAAAGCTTACCCGCGGACGCAGCCGGGCCGTGCGGCGTCCGGCTGGAACGTTCCATCCCGCACGCGCCGGTTCCACTTCAGCAACGACGAGATGAATCTGTCGGGGTCGGGGAGTGTTGAAGCAAGCGGTGATCAGTTGGTGATAGGGGGTGAAAGTTCAGAAGGCTTAAAAAAAAAATGGTGTTAGGTGTCACATTATTGACTGGCGGGGCCGGAGGCATCACACGACAAGCTGTGCGTGCTACTGCTGCTGTAGTCGCCAAACGAATGAACAACCCCCGAAGACCGCGTATCGCAACCAAGTTCCAGCATCACAAGAAAAAATTTCTAGTCCAGACCCTTGGAAGACTGAATCCGCCGATGTACTACACCCGTGCTGCTGGTGCAGCATCGCAGACACTTTCGCACGAACCGCTAGCAAAACGACCATCTTTTGCACTTCCTTCCACGAACCTAGCGGCTCCAACGATCTGCGGGTCGGAGCCCGGGGGCACCGCAGAGTCCTTGGGGGGTGGCTTGAGGGCCAAGTAGGGGTTCGAGTTGATCGGCAGGCTCCATCTCCCCTCCAGGTACATGTCGTCCCAGAGCCCCTCGATGTAGCTGTGGGGGTAGCCCTTCTGGGCAGCATCCTTCTCCACAACCTTCATCGTTCAGCACGCAGATGGTGGACGCGGCGGTATGCACATGTGGATGGGACACGTTGTTCGTGCGAGAGACATGTTGTGTGTGCAAGAGAAAGAGGGGGCCTTCCATGTTTGTGGAGTCGTTGTGGTTGGCTCTCTGGTTGCGTTCGGAGTCACCGGAAGAGTCTCTATTTCGAGTCAGTGGACGAGCCACTTGCAGGGGGGGGGGGGGCGTACTCATTTGTTGCTTGCCGTAGTCATTTGACCATTGACCACGCGTCCCTTTCGAGACGGAGCGCTCCTACTAGAGACACCACCAACATTTGGGAGCTCTTTACGTTTCTGCCACAAACTCCATAAAAATTTCTTGCACATCTTATCCCCGTCCTCTAGGGCCTCTTGTGCCCACCATCTATCCCCAATTATCGCGATCGTTTTTTCGCTGTTGTTTAATTTACCAAACTTGTCCATGTCACACCCTCTCTGTCTCATTTCCTCCTCCGAGATCCTCTCTTTCCTTCTTGTACAACTCACACTCCCCAACTATGTGGGGTCTACTCTCCTCCGATTTGCCACATGGACATGTGTGTCTATCCTCCTCTTCCTCTCTCCTACGGCTGGTATACCTCTTCCTCCGTTCTGGCAAGTCCAGATCGCCTACTCGAAATTGCAATTTCAGCTTTTTCGCATTGTCCATGGGGCCGTCCAAGTACGTCTTCATCCCTATCCCTTCTTTCAACTTCCCCGTATATCTCCAAGTGGTCTTCGCTTCGTACCTTCTTCCGAAGGGTTGCCTCCTCCCTACTCTCTAGCATCTCCTTGACTTTCGTCTTGAACCCCCCGAACCCTTCCGTGTCCAACGTCTCCTCCTCGTCCCCTATCTCCTTCCAAACCTTCTCTACCACCTTGTCCCATCTGATTCCCTTCTTTCCTGGAGTCGCTTTTCCCCAAGCTGCGTTGTCAACCATGGCTGGTAGTCTATCGTCCGACGTTCTACTTACCTTGTACTGCCAATTCAACTTCTGCATGTCTCTCTTTGTTTTAAGAGAGTACATTCCCAATTCTGCTCTCAATACAGTGTTGCTCGTTGTACTTGAACATGCTAGCATTTTCTTGGCCGCTGCCATCTGCACCGTTTCCAGCTGCTTGACGGCCTTTTCGTTACCTTCCCATACCTCTCCTGCATACTCTAGCTTAGGTACAATCACATTCAAGAGAATACACCTCTTAATCCTAGTGTCTAGGTGTGGGTCCGTAAGGATCTCGTCCATCTTGCCTATCTGAGCTTTACCCTTCCCAATCAACTTCGCTATGTGTGCGTCCCATGAGCACTCCTTCGAAATCTCTACTCCCAGGTACGTATACTTGTCTACTACCGGTAGTTCTTCCTCCCCCCATTTCCATTTGAATTCTACGGGATTTTTCTTGTCTTCGTTACAGACCACTACTGCGCATTTTCCTACGTTCGCCGACAGTCTCCATTTTCGGGTGTATCCTACCGCCGCATCTATTTGTTCTTGCAACCCTTCTGGTGTTTCGGATACCCCCACGAAATCATCTGCAAACATCAGTCCGGACACACTCTTTCCACCTACTTGGACTCCTTGTCTTACTGCTTCAACCGCCCTTATCAAATCGTTGATGTAAATCTTAAAGAGGGGGGGGGGGATGAGAGTGTGTGTGAGAGAGAGAGTTTTGGTGCAAGTGGTCAACCGCGCTCGCTTCACCCTCGCCGAAGTGTGGGCTTATAATAATAAGCAGAACAAGGCTTCGACACACGTATGAAGACGACACGTTGTCAACATACCAAATCTAGAATGGTGTGGACGGCGTCAGCAAATCACGCAGAGATAAATCTGCCAGACTCACTTATAGGGTGGGTGATGTCTTTCTATTTTGCACCCCAGGTAGGCGCCCATCGCAAGTATCCACCCATAGTGTTGAGGCAATACAGCTGGGGGGGGGACGCCCCTTCTACAACTGCGTCATGCCCACTTTTCGCCACACCTTGGCATTTTCTGTGGACCAGGTGGCCATTGTGCCTTTATCAACTTCAAGCAGAAGAGAGGAACAACACGCCGCATTTTCAACATTCAACATTTTCCCCCCACAAATCGCGATACTGCAATCTTGGCGGAGATATATTGTAAGCAAATCTTGGGTCAAAATTGCCAGGACATATTTGCAAGATTCTGTTTCCATCAAGAAGGGTCTAATAAGGTGGGTGATGGCTTCCTGCGCAGATTACAGTCTCGCTCCTGATATAAGAGGGTGGTGTGACAAAGGCCCTCGACCCTCTTATATCGGAGCCCCGTCTTGTTGGGGTATTAAGAGGGTACCCAGCTATACTATGGTGGGTCGAGTCCGTGACAACCGATTTCGAGTCTCCTATATCGGAGCCCCCTCTTAGAAGGTACCCTCATATATCGGAGCCACTGTTAAGAAATCGGGGCGTGATTGGTGGATCCATGGTAGATGTCGGAGACGCGACTTCTGCCCTCGCTGGCGCTGCACGCAGTCCGCCCCGAGAGCGCGCGGGACGCTGGGAGAGCCCTCGCAACACAGGGCTATCGGTAGGTGCAAGTCTCGCTTCGAGGCGAGGTCTACGGGCGGAGAAACCGCGAAAAAAGGGCCCTAGGCGCACGAGAGCATCAGGATTGCATTTCCTGCAATCTCGTGAGCCCTCAGCCCGTAGGATATCCGTCAAAAGGTCTATAACGGAACCACGACTGTACACAAAAAAAATATCCAGAAACTTGCCCGCCCGCTCACTCACCATGGAGTGCAGCAAAGGGCCATCCCCTTTCAGAAACCGGTCGGCACTCGCCCGCGCTCGGGCGAGGTCCTCGGGGCGGTCCCTCGTCAGGGGCTCCAAGCTCTGCACCGCACCCAAACGGCGGGCACGGAACAAGCGAGGGCACGAATTGATGAGGAGGCGGTGGGAAGAACGCACCGAACAGCAAGGCCTGCTGCACCACCGTACGTACAACATTTTTCAACGGTAAGATCTCTGCGCAAGATTCTGAGTAGTTCAGGATTAATTAATCGGGAACGGGCATCCGTGTATCGTTCAACTACTACAGGGTGTGAGAATCGGGCGGGTGTGCAAGAGGTGCATGAGCAACCGCTGCGTACTGTGACTGCGACAGGTACACAGGACCAAGACAGCAGACCCCAGCGTTGGCAACGGGTACCTGCGCTCAAGAGCTCTAAAAAGTTGTGCCCCAGTTGGTCTGGCGTCGGTCTGGTGTTGTAAGTTCCAAATCCATCGGCATGTTCCAAGTTCCAAGCTGTCAAACTTCTACTGCTATAGATCAACCGTAGGACTGCTGTTTTAGGAAAAATAAATACAACTACAGAAAGTCTCTGACTCTTTTCTATGATAGAGATGAATTCGTTCTGTCACCTTAAGACAAATAAAAAAAAGACTACCCTACAGAAGTAGTAGGACTGCTGTTGTAAAGGTCCCAAGTTACAAGTCCGGAGTAGATTGAACAGGCACAAATTACGCCGCTGATGGTCTGATGGTGCATAACGAAAACACCGCCGGTCTAAGCTCTTCGGTCTACTTTGCTGGCACCCAGATACTACCCGGTTGCCGCAAACATCTCCATGTCATCGCATTGATTGATACATGTGTCCATATCCTCCAAAACGCCCCATTTGACCAGAGGGTACCCCTGGTGCTGTTGAAGACGCAACTTGCACATTTGCAAACACGGTTGTTCCTTTCTTAGCAAATGCAACAGCAACAACCCTTGCAGCAGAGGGCAGATACACACACACGTCGTGTCCACTCACCTGCAAGTACCTCGACACTGTGTTTTCCAGCTTCGGGATCGGCAGTCTAGGCAGGTCGAGGGGGTTGCCGTTCACCATATCATTGTAAGAAACACCTTTGCTCGAAAGAGGACGAATGCTGCTGTGCCTGCTGCTGCGGAGCTTTCTTCCTGCCGTCGATGTAGCAGAGGCTGCACTACGAAAGGACAGAGCCGACATCGCAACAAGCTGTCGCGTGGAGAGAAGAGTAGCAGCGGCGAAGCCGTCGTCGACTGCACGTGATCGTGTTCAGTACCTGACCACGCCGTCGCTGCTGTGGCTCGTTGCTTGTTGCTCGATGCTGCTTCTTGTTTCCGCGGGGAGAGGGGATTGGAGAGAAGGGTTTTCCAAATCAGGTAGGATGTTTCCGGTTCGGGGGTGGTCATCATGCAGTTTCGGTTTTTCCGGCCCTTGGGCCTTGGGCCCTCGTTGTCACGTCGTCTTGTGTCTGCGATCCTGAGACTCCAAGGCCTACACATTACCCTGGCTCTTGCTGTAACACTCCCTTCCTCTTGATATATTCATTTGAAAGAATAGCCCGTAGCCCTCTTTGCGAAAGCCGGCAGCTTCCCTAAAAGAGAGGGAAACATTGCCCTTGCTTAGCAATCAAGACCCGCCGGTGGAAGGTGCGCGTTGATGCGACGTGCTGGTGACATCATGAAGAGGATATTAGCACGAGTGCGTAATGCTTGTATGCTATGAGCAGTATTGATATTCAGCACAGCAGCTCAGCTCTTAGCAGAGACCCGTGCCGTTTATACAGAAGAGAGCAGGGACCACAACAAGCAACACTCTCCGTGACACGTGCACGGTACGGGACTGTCAGCTAACGGTCGGTTCTCAAGGGGCCCTCACGATGCCAAGATAGGCGGTCGACCATTCACAACTTTGGTCGTTGGGTCAGCCGAAAAACATCAGCACTTCTATCTTGCCATCGTCCTGAGGACTACCCGAGCGATGTTTGGCAACATTGAACAGTGGTGTGCCTCTTGGATTGAGTAGCTGTCTTTGCTTCTCAGCGAGGACCTGTAGTGAAAGCTCCCCAGAGCGGCTCAACCCGACGCGCTACCACTGCTAAGTTTTCACCAAGACGACGACCACCGTAAGATGCAGGCGAGGTGCGACGACGGTGAGAGAGAGTGGAAGGGCACGACGTACAGGAAATGTCGAGAAGAACCAGATGAATTCTAAAATTATTGCTTGATGACAAAACGTTTCCGGTATATATATATTGTCTCCTGAATAACGGTTCGAATAAACCAACGGGGTCACCGAAATGGAATACCACCGGTCGATAGCAATATGCAGTCGAACATATAGAACATGACCACTTGCCCTTACGCCGAAATAAGAAAAATGAGTGATGCCGAATACGACGAGAGGGTGGACTTCGCGCGATGAACATCGCGGAAGCCACAAGCGGTACGCCAGGAAAAGGAAAAATGGATATACGTTCGACCAGATGACGAAAAACACGCACTGCAAACACGCGCTATACAGTGATGAAAAAATTGCGGGGGCGAAACAGAGTGCGAAACAACGACGACGCTTTCGTACGCCGAGGAAAGATATCCGCCAGTAGGTAAAAAGTGTCGTGGTCTGCGAGTTGCATGCAGTTGGAGAAGAGCGCTCTGTACTCCACGCGCGCCTGGCTGCAGATCACCTCCGCTTGGCCTTCTTTGGAGGAGAACAGCAGTCTCAGTAAGGGCTGAGGGTTGCCAGCTGGTGGCGTGGTTGGATGTGCTTGTCGAGCACAAAACTTCCACGGCCTCTTCTTGAGGTACGTGCGGCGGATCATTAGGTTCACATGCCAGCACCCCGCCGCACATCGCGCGGGGCGGGGCCAGGGCCCTTAACTTCGCCTCCTTGGTTGGAGAACCGAAGGACAAGAAGGCGGTCTTCTCGGGCGCATTGTATGCTTTACAGCTTGTGAGCACAAGCCTCCACGCGTACCTCGAGAGAAGGTACGGAGATTTGTGGTCCAACGCTAGAGCCAAGCACACCCGGAGACCACTCTTCGTGCCATTCTTTTCCGACCATGAATACCAAGCGGAGCGACCTTCCCCCGAACGCTGCGATACGCACGTGCACTCTGAAGGTCCACCGCGCGTACACCACGGGAAGGCGCGGCCGAGGCTTGTGCTCGCTGTGGACAAGCACAGCCAACCCCGCCTGACACACAACCTTCACCCCCGTACAGTTGTTCGCCCGCCAAACAGGGGTTTCAGATTCACGTCAGAGTCACAGAGAGAACTGTTATTGTAGTCCGCCTCGAGGGGATGTGTTCAAAAACAACCTTCTTCATTGTGGAGATGGAGGGCAAGTTGAGTCTTTGCTCATTCACAGACATATCTCCACATTTTCGCGCCGAATTAGTTCAGACAGACCTGCCGTGTTCAGATCTGCGGTGGTTCTGGGTTTTGGGAAATGCGGCGCATAGCGGCTACGATGACCTACAGCTCACTGCTGCTGCAAAATGGATGAACACCGTAGCGCAATCATCGACGTTCCAATCTGCAAGTTTGCTTCTTACGCGAAAACACCCTATCACCAACACACCGGAATCTGAAGAGACAACTCGACAACAACGTCAAAAACATAGTATATTCATACAAGTCTACGCCTACCCTGCCAGAGGTAACACATGTTCCCCACGAAGTACACCCACAACGTATCACACGACGCTACTGCAAAAACCAGCAACGGCACGGAACATGCAGCAACAACAATAGCAGCAACATGATATGCCATGGCGGGGGTGCACTCGCACACTTCGCCGCATACCGCCTCTTCGGAGTTTCATACTCTATATTGGATTTGCACCAATCATGCATGTACGTGGCCCCTTTTTTTGTACAAATCACTGAATATTTCCCGCCACCTGAACGAATGCGGAAGCCTTGGTGTTCCTAAGCCCGATAGGCGTGGGGTACTTGGTACAACGAAAACAAACACTATCGAAAAACAGAAAAAGAGGCGTGCGAATCGACGCCAACGAACAAAACTCCGCTCTCTCGCCAACGTAAGTCCACAAAGCAACAACTTCCAAACTTTGAATTCACCGCCGCATGCTTCCTCCCTGTCATGAAGACAAAAGGTAGACACGAAAGTTGCGGACCGGCCTCGCCTCGATAAAACAGACGAGCTCCGGTCAGACTCCCTTCGAGACCACGAGCTATCAATCGAAATGTGCGGGATGGCTATCTCCTGCGGTGGCTTGTCGACGTGGTAGAGACGCATTCCTACAGGAAGGTTACACTGGAAGAAAACCTCACAAAAAATGTATGGTAGTGTGTTATGAAATAATACTTTTGAACCCGCGCAATTCAACAGAAACACAATGATTCGTACCACATAGCAAGCAGACTGATACTACTGTCGAAACCTACACCTGGCTGGTTATCCCCGTTATGGCATCAACGTCTTCGAGGAAGAAAAGACCTAGCGCACCACCGAATCTTCTGGGAATAACCAAGACAGAAAAGACAAGAACAGGAGCAGTCTATCGTCAGCCGAGGGTGCCAAAGCCGGGGGGGGGGGGGGGGGGGGGGGGGGTGCCCA